ATAATATCAACTGACTATAATAAATTTTGTCCTTGTTTTATTTAGGCTTTTTCATTGCCTATTAGGATCTTCTACAAAGACAGCCAGGACACTGAGGGCTAAGAGAGGAAAAGAGGAGAATGAGGAGGAAAGGGGAAATGTAAATAGAGAGGAGTGCTAAAGGAAAATTTAGAAGGAATGAAAAGTTACTTGTTCACAGGCTCACTCTGGCTGCCTCAAGGGCTAAGGGGTTCAAGATCAGTACACTATTGAAAACTCATTCGCAGCCCACCTGCCCCAGTGCAGTGGCTGGGAGGCTCTGCTCTGGGGGTTATCTCCACATCTCCCATGGTAAGGGATGTAGTGAGGACATAGTAAGTGCTCAGTAAATGTCTTCAGCTTTATTATGAGCTGAGGCTAATGAGATTCATACAGCATCTCCATGAGATTAGATAGGTCATATCAATTCTAAATAACCAAGAAAGAAACGGAGGTCTGCACTAGTATTAATAAATAATGATAATCTCTAACATTAATTGAGCACAATGTGCTAGGCACTGTGCTAAACATTTTTAGGTGTGTCAGTTCCTGTCAATTTTTAGAACAATCTTATGTTGTTACTTAGTAATAGATCCGAAATTTGAATCCAACTTTCATAATCCTTCCCACTGGATTTAAATGTATGTAATATTCCCTTATAGATGAAATAAAAGGAAAACAATGAAATGTGGACAAACCAACCCTTTTTCGTGTCCCCCACCCCACAGAGTAAAGCGCACGCACCTCCCTCTGTGTTGTAGCAATAGGCTGTGTAGTGTCCTGAGCCAAACCCTTTCCCGTGATGCATGACCACTGCGGAGAGATCATAGGCAAAGGTCTCTTTGTCAAGAGAGGAGAGCATGTCCCTGCAGCAGTAAGGTTCCATGGTTAATACCTGGTCAAAGACGACATGGACCCCAATCTTCTCTCGATGATTACGGCCAGACCACCTAGAACATGGATATAAACTTCTCACTAGTATAAAATGGCATAAGTGATTACAGGTAGAGGTAGGTAAAACTGGGAACTGAGAAAACAACTTTCCAGCTTTGGTTTTCACATCAGTAAAGTAGGAGTAATCAATGTCCACATGTATTTCCTGTGAATGTTCCATGATGTACCCTGAAACTAGAGATCCCTAAACAAGCAATTCAGGCAATAACTTCTTGCAATTTACTTCCTGCCCTTCTTTCTTATCACAGATTCTCATACTTTATTTTGAAGAAGGCACTATATAAGCCCAAGTGAGGCTAGAAAATCTTCAAACACAGACACCTGGTATAGGCTAGCCAATTAAACAGAGCCATGAGAGCAGAAGCCCAGTCCCGCTGGGCCCCAACATCAACTTGCCTCACTGGGCATGATGCATTTAATCTCCACAGAAAGCACAAGGTCTCTAAGGAACCAGTGCCCCCTCTCAACAGCAAAGACATTTGCTTTCACCAAAGCCTTTGAAGCAACTGTTTCCACAGCTCACAGCCACCTGGGACACCCAAGAGCAAGCTCACCTGAATCTTTTAAGGTGCAGCCTGAGGACCTGAGGTAGTCTGTAGATCATTAACTGCTTTCTAGCTTCACTCAAAACAAGGGGTTTTGGATTGGATTTTCGTCGTTTGCCTATATGGTTTGGGAAGATATAAAACAGATTGTGAAGAGTCTCATTCTTTCCTAGTTATGGCAGAGACAATGATTTGCCACTCAACATGCATTCTTTATTTCTCAGTATTTGAACCTCAATTTTATTTGGGGCAGCAATGTGACTCTCTGTAAGACTTCATTTCTCAGCCTCACATGTCTGCATGGTGTGGCCACAGAAGGTCTGGCAGAGATGAAAGGAATGATTGTGTGGCACTCTTGGATAGCAGCTTAAAGAAGGCTGACTCAGGTGTAAGGTGATTCCTTTGTCCTTCTCACTGTTTGCAACTGTTGGAATTCCTCTTGGACCATGAGGTAATCTTGAGGTTGGAAGCCTTGAACTATGACAGTAAAGCTGAAAGATGGCAAGAGCCTGGGTCCCCAATGACCATGCAGCCACCATGCAAGCCCCTGAATGTCCTTCAGACTTCTTTTATATAACAGAAAAAAAAATTACTTCTTGTTTTAAATCATTGTTATTTGAGTTGACTATACCTAATCCTATTACATGCACTTTCAAATTTTTACCATCAGCAATTTCCAAAATTGGTATGGGTTTAGGATGGCACACTCCTGATGTCATGGGTTAATGGAATCTAACGAAAGGTCATTGCAACAACATGCACATGGAGGCATATGTTAGGGTTCTAGGCCTTTAAATATGGGCTTATAACTTAAATTATGATGTATCATAATATAACTTAAAAAGCATTTTGTGTTAATCAGAAAGGCCTAATTCTATTTCTTGCTCACATCTAGTTGTGTATGCTATTAGATAAATTATTCGAAACTCTGAACCTCAGTTTGCTTTCCTGTAAAATGGGTAATATATATATATATATATATTTCAGGTTTAGGAAAAAGGTAAGAGGACACAGGATTACTAAAAGACAAAGTATTTAAAAAGATTTTTTCCCCAGCATGATATACTTGTGGCATATACAAATATTTAGAGATGAACCTGTTCTGATGTTATATTTTTATGTTGTGCCTAGTTTTCGAAACACGTTTCTTGGATAAAAGTACACTGTTGGACATGCAGGACAGGCTGGCTAAATTCACCCAGTCCAAAGCAGATTCAGTGCTCAGACTTCCATTTTGTTTCTAAAGCCACTGAATCGTTGTGGAAATGCATTTTTAAATTATAGCGAATAAACAATGAAAATAAAATTTTCTTAATTTCCATCAGAAGCCTTCTCTATAACCATTTACTAATGACTGCTCTGTTATTAAGTCAGTGAATGGATGAGAATAAAAAATTAATTAGTTCACTGTGGTGCCTGCTAATTGTCTTTGAGCTCTTGATATCATAGTCTCAGTGTCTGAAGAGCTCCGCATCCGATTCTGAGTCCTGTCTGTACTACCTGTGAAAGGCAGCAAATCACAGGCAGATGACGTTTCAGAGAGCTTTCTGTGACAATAGGATTTGGAGCTGTTGCTTCTAATAGATTGCAGCAGAATGAGTGTGCCATAGATTTTACTGGGACTGGCAGTCATGATATGTCCGGGCACGAACAGAAAGAGAATTCAAAGCGGAGCCTGGCCTTATTTTACATTCCTATTCACCAGCAGATTTTTGAAAATTATTGCAACTCTTCCTGGGAACCCTTGCAGTGACTGCCGCTATCAGCAGAGGGAGTATGTGAGCTAAAATGAAGAACATGTAGAATCTGGCTTTGTTTCCCTAAAATGAAATTCACAAAGAAAAATAAATTACTGATTCAATTGAGATTGATCAGTTTTGTCTCCATTTGATTAAGCTGGCCACACAGAGAGGCGGAAGGCTGATAGTTTGGAAACTTCGTAAGCAACAGATCAATTCATCTTGTCCCTTTACCATAGCTTTCCTAACCTGCTATTATTTGAACTTGCCTAGAGAAATGTTGATAAATAGGCACATCTAGCAACCAGAAAAAAAACCTTTCTTGCAAAAATAAAAGTATTTCCTGCCTAATGTATCATGTCCGAGAATGACTGAATTAAAATTGTTAACATCTTTCTGTTCCTTACAAGTTAAAAAGCTTTATGAATCACCGTTTAAAAAAAAGATACTGCTCTAATAAGATAATTTAAGTCACTGCTTTTAAATCTCAGTATGGAACAGACAGGTGAGCCTACAATTAACCAAGTATAACATTTCAAATTTTGTTTTAAAATAACAAAATAATAGCAAGTATTACTTTTGATTTTTGTCCTGATTCTTCAAAGAAAACAGGTTTCCCACAATTTACTATTTTAAAAAATCATATGCAAATATATTAAGGATTACCATAATCTTTTTGTTCCCAAAACTTGTAGTCCAAAGGACTATATGGCCATAAGTTGATTTCTAGATTATCCATTAATTTTAGTTTCTAAATCTTCATATGCCAAAGTCCATTAATTTTAGTTTCTAAATCTTTATATGCCAAAAAACCCAAACATGAGCTTCCAAGTATTTGTTCTGCACATCCTCTGGGAAATGCTGAGTTAGCAAAAGCATTAAGCATTAGTGTGGCAAGACAGAAGCGGCCCTGTATAAGATGCCCATGTGACCACATGGAAAGAGTTCCACTTCAAAATTAAAGCCGCGAAATTAAAACTTCCTTACGACCCCCTCTGAAATGCCAACCTTTCAAGCATGTGAAGAAACAAACAAATGCAGGAAGTAACTGAACCTGCCACAAAACAATGTACCTTTTGACTTGCTTTCTTGATCTTACTGTACAGATCTTCAGCGCCACTTCTGAGACTTTAAATCTACAAATTCAGTACAAAAGTACACTTTTCTGATGCCACAACCCTCAAACAGGCGATGCTACCTGAACTTAGATTAAATAAGAACCATCAGACTCTACATGAATTTCAGCTGGGCCCCTGTAGCACTATGAAGCTAAGTACTCACATTCTTAGAGTCTCCATTTCAAGATCCACACTTTCAATACCTCCCAAGATAAAAGTTCATGTCAATCACAGCAGGAGTCAAAGGAAGCACCGCTCCTAAGTTTGGTTTGTTTTTAAATATTTAATGTTCATATTCTTGTTTTCAGTAAAATGGGAGGAAAATATCTCTCTTAAAAGATGCTTTAGAACCACTCAATATTATCAGTGTTACTTTTGACTAAAAGGCAAAAGAAGCACCTTACACTGACATTCCAATTGTACACACCCCACCTACCCCATGCCCCAGCACTCACTGTTACACTGGTCACAAGCGTAGATTCTCCCTTCCAGGGCCTCTGTCTCTGTGAACTTGGCCAGCATCTCAGTGAGCAGGCACTCTGTCTGATTCAAAGGGACAAACCCCTTTTCTATGCAGTGATAGCGTTCAGGAAATTCCAGGGACAGATCCCAAAAGGGCTCAATGGTGTTGGATTTGTAATTGCATGATATACATGTGACCTAGAATGAAAAGATTGATTTATAGGTTATAAAACTTTGAAACTTCCCATGTATGTTTTGGCCTGCTTTGTACGAGGCACAACTTGACCAAAACTAAGTGTGAAGTTTTCAAAAAATTGTTTAATTTTAATGTTAAAATAATAAATATAACTTTAAGGGAATTAGCACACGTTACTTCTGTATATATTTCTATGTGATGCCAGCTGAAACTGGAAAACCATGCAGCAAAGAAGTTATTACCTACCCCTCTGTCTCTTCTCTCTCATAGCATGCTTTACAACTCAATGCTGTAGTACAGCCTATCATGGAATCAGTCTGAGATAGAGAAGTCGCAGATTCTTGTCTGCTTCTCTCACCTTCACACTCCTTCCTCCTCCAGACTTCGTTCTCTCCTTGAAGTCCAACTTGCCTCTCCTTTTGTCCTTGATTCTTGCAGCACCCCTACACTGATCCCTGTGTCCACAGAGCCTCAAAATACCTTGTGATTAGATCTACGCTCCCATTGTAACCTTCCCACATGCACCTTTCTTCCTATGGACTCTCAGAGGATAGAGGAAGTGCCTATAAATACTCCCCGTTCAAATGCCAAAAGCCTAAATAAACGTTCTCTTCTCATCCGACTTATCATTCTTTTAAAACACTAAATGCCAAGACAAAACCTCAGTAGCAGTGTAGAGATTTTGCCCACCTTTTTAGCTCTAAAAATTATCTTTCTTCATATTCTCAGGAAGTCTTATCTATGAATCTTTGCTTATGTCCCTACATTGCTAAAGATCCAGGAAATAAAAGGTCATGGGGAGCAGAAGGGAGGCTTGCTCAGGCCTTTGGCATACTCCTAGCCACCTCACTTCCTTGTATGTAAAGAATGCTTAGGAAGGAAGAATACGCATTCTTTCAAACTACCATGAAACCAGGGTTACGGGCAAATGGTTCAATTTCCTAAAATTGATCAAAGGATGGCATGCCAACCATGGGTACTTAATTGTAATGAGAATATTAGATTACCCATATTGTCATAAAAGGTTAAAGACATTCACTAAAAACGAGAGATGGCAAGTTATACTGAAAATCTGCCCAGAAAGAGACAGGTGGCAAGTTCCCAACTCAGTGTACAGTACAATGAAAGGTACAATGGCCACCCTCCATTATGCATCGTTACAGCCATTCTTGGCTACCTCATTAGCCCAACAAACTGGGGGAGGCACTCACGGGAAGCCCAAACTCTTGCTAGTTACCCTCTAACGTGATGGACAGAATCGGGATTAGGGTGGGCACACACCTACCTGACTGAGAAGCTGCCCATGAAATATGGTGTTCACCACCTTTAAGACCTGTTTGGTGAGCTTCCTCTGGGAGAAGGGGATGAGGATCCGACGCGTGGTGCCCTCAGACTCGAGTTCTTGCTGCACTTTGTGCAACAGCTCACAGAGAAACTCCTGTGCGTCCTGCTGGTCGTAGCCGCGGAAAGCAGGGATCAGGCTCCACACCGAGTGAAGCATGGCAAAGGGAGACACCAGGGCCCACTTCCCGGACCACATGACTCGGAAGAGGGTGTGCAGTTCGTGGCAGAGGGAGATGTGCTTCGAGCTGGGCTCCTTGTTCTGGATGAGTTCTAAGCTCCTGGTGATGGAGGGCCCGTCATTCCAGCAGAAGCCCTCACGTTCGCACGACTCAGCCCTGACGTTCCTCGGTGACAGCTCGGTGGCTGAGCTGCTGGCCGGCCTGCCGGAGAGCGGCGCCTTCCCGTTGGTGGCTTTGGGAAAGAGCTGTTCCGTTTTGGAAGGGTCGAGGTTCAGGAAACACTCTCGGAACTTCTGGAGGTGGCTGAGCACCTGCAGGATGGAGTTCATGTAGCAGGTGTTGCCCAGATTGCGCAGGCCGGTGACACCCGGCGCCATGGCGGGGGCGCGGCGCGGCGGGAGGCGGCCCCCGGTGGGTGTGCGCGACGTGGCGGGGCGCGGGGCGGCGGCACGCGGCGCGTGCAGCAGTAGGCGCGCGCTCTTGCGCGGAGGGGCGCTGGCCAGCTCCTCCAGCAGCCGCCGCTTGACCTCTAGCCGCCGCTGCCGCGCCGCCTCCTTCTTACGCTCCAGCGCCTCCTCCCGCCGCTGCTGCTCCAGCTTTGCCTGGCCGCGAGAGCTCTTCTCAAACCAGCGTCGCAGCGTCTTGGCCAGCAGGCGCTGGCGCCGGTACCACAGAGCGGTGAGCATCTGCGGCTGTCCCTGAGGAGTGCGCGGCAGCGGGGCCGCGTCCTCGCCCGAGGCCATGGACCGCAGCGTCCGGCCGCGCCTCCCTGGCGGGTCCTGCTTCTGGCCCCTGACCGCCAGGAGGGAGCTTCTCAGCAGCTTCAGGTCCCCCTCCGGGTTATCATTGAGCACGTAGTCCTTGCACAGGTAACAGAACACGTAGAGATCTCGGACCTCCATGGCTAGCGGGTGTCCGGTCTCTTCAAAGTGTTTAAGGGCGTGATCCTCAATATAGCGGCCGCAGGCCACGTGTGAACACTTGAGACAAGCCCACACGGATTCTGTGGTGGTGCACTCCCTGCAGCACCACTTCTGAGGGTTCAGTATGGAGTGGTCCTGGGCCAGCCGCAACCGCCCTACATGTTTGCATCTATCCATGTCTTACAGAAGTCTCCACTCTTTCAACCTGGCACAATAGAGCCCCCAAAAAGAGAGAGAGAGAGAGAAAATCAAAAGCTTTCAGCAAAATATCTTCCTAGAAAAAAGCTTGCAACTGGCATTTGAACTCGACACTCATTAGTGTTTAATTCAAAATTAGTTCCTTTGGAAGGAAGTTTTTTTAAAAAGCAAATTTGGTACAGAATGAGGATTACAGGACAGTTAAATTCCTTAAAAAAGAAGAATCGTAAAATATTTGGGGGGCCTTGGCACCAATTTGAAACTTTACATTTTCTAAGCCTGTTTTATGCTTGAATATCAGCTAATTTTTATGTGCTCCTTAGAAAATGTCATTACCCTTATTTCACACTGCATCCAGCTGGCCACCAGGGGAAAGAAACTTGTATTCTGAACCATTTCTGAACTGATGATGTCCTGGAAGGAAAGCTATATCTCATACTGATCAAGTATGCGGAAAGAGACAGGGGAGAGGAACTGAGACGAAAGACATAGTGTTTCAAATACCAGTAGAAGAAATGAAGACCCATCACTAAACTGACAATCTTAGTTTCAATGTATTTCAAAGCAGAGATAACAGGATAAGGTAAAGGGAAGAAAAATAAAGTCCTCTACAGTACTATTATTTTTATTTTCTTGAGTCTAAAGAATCTGGCTAAGGAGGTGATCCTCAATATAGTCAGCCTCAATCTAAGTAACATTTCATGTCTGCTATGGTTTGAATGTTTGTGTCCTCCCCCAAAGTCTCATGCTAAAATCTTAACCATCAGATGATGGTATTAGGAGGCAGGGACCTTTGGAAGGTGATTAGATCACAAATGGGTTGACCCTCATGGGATGAGCTCTCATGAATGGGATTAGTGCCCTCATAAAAGAGCTCCCTCACCCCTTCTGCCATGTGAGGACACAGTGAAAAGCCGTATGGCTATGAACCAGGAAGTCCTTATCAGACACAGAATCTGGTGCCATGATCTTGGACTTCCCAGCCTCCAGAACTGTGAAAAACAAATGTTTATTATTTTTAAGCCGCCCAGTCTATGGTATTTTTGTTATAGCAACCCTGAGAGATTAAGACAATGTGTCTTTTTCAAAAGAATATTTACATTTTGCAGAAAGGGTGGAGAAACTCACCTTCTTTACTGAAAGGACAGATAAGTACAGAATTAGATAGATCTGTCTAATAGTGGAGTGGCTACTATCATGACAAAAGAAAAAAAAGCAAATCTTCCAGATGAGATATGTGAAAATGCTTTTTAAAACATTGGTAACATACTGAAGTGGGGTTTGTTTTTTTGTCTTCTAGCATTGCTTCTTCAATAGTATTCTTCAGAGAAACCTAATGGGCAATTTCACCAAGGGACAGATGCTAAACAACTATTTTAAAAGAAAACTTTTTATTCTTTGGATCCTTGACAGGTGTTTTGTTTTTGTTTTTGTTTTTTTTTTTAATATCAGAATGTAAAATTTCCTAAAGGTGGTTCCCTTATAAAAAGAACTTCCTTCACCTCCATTTCGTCTCCACTTTCATTTCTGTGTGCAGATGCAATTCCATGATTATAGGGTCACCCAGAGAAGTTCTAAATCCAGAGCACTCTGAGTAGTCCCTTTAGTTAGTTTTCCAGAAGCCCTTTTGGCCTGGTCCTGTTGACAAAACCCACAAATATACTGCAGGACCATGAGATCCTGACCATTTTTTAGTGCCCATTCCAGATGGCGGAGTTACAGCTCTATACAAGAAACTCTTAGATCATACAAAGAAAAGCAACCTAGATAATATTTTCAATCAAGTCAGATCATGCTTTTCCTTTGAGCACTGTCAGGATTTAGTTTCTACTATATTATTTTACTAATTATTAACTTGTTGCTAAGTGCCCTTCTAAAGTCATTTCTCTGGATGAATTTATCCATTTCCTAACTAGATATAATATCCAGAGGAGATCATATGTTATATTTCTTTTTTTACTCCTTTGAATTTCAAGACTGGTGGGTACTCAACTCATAGTGGTCAAAGGTCTTCTGTCAGAATTACCTTCCTACACAGCCCAGAATGGTAGTGAAATAACCATTTCTGTTTACTTTTTGTAGGGCAGAGCCGAATTAAAACATACATACATTAAAAAGATGAAATGGTAAAAAAAAAAAAAAATGAGCTTTTTGTTTTCTACTTATTACCAATCAAGTTGGGTACACAGATGCTTACAACTAATTACTGGGGACACAAAAGAAAATAATGAAAGAATGAAGGGGAAAAAAATCAAGAGGGCAGTTCCCAAGTTTCTCGCTAATTTAATATTTTTCATAATGTAGCTCCTGAACCACCTATCAGCATCAGAATTCCCTAAGACAGCAGTCCCCAACCTTTCTGGCACTAGGGACTGGTGATCCTATGAGAATATAATGCCTGATGATCTGAAGTGGAGCTGAGGCGGTGATGCTAGCGCTGGGGAGCGGCTGCAAATACAGGTGAAGCTTAACTAGTTTGCTTCCTGCTCACCTCCTGCTGTGTGGCCCGGTTCCTAGGCCACAGACCGGTACCAGTCTGTGGCTCGAGGGTTGGGGATTTCAGCCCTAGGATACTTGTTATTTGTACAGATTTCTGGTCACGACTCCAAACCAGATGAATCAGGGCCTGGAGGAGGGGTCTAATAATCTCCATTTTAAACATGCTCTACAGATGATTCATTTATACATTAAAACCTTAGAACCACTGCACTAAATCCAGCAAATTACAGCAGGATGAAGAACACCTCACAGAAATCAAAGAATTATTTCTCAAAATCTTTTACTTAGACCGACAACGTCCAATAGAACTTTCTGCAATGTTGGGAATGTTCTTTATCCGCACTGTCCAATACTGTACTAATTAGCCACATGTGCCTACTGAGCACTTGAAATGTGGCTAGTGAGACTAAGGGACTGAACTTTTAATTTTATTTAAGTTCAATTAATTTAAATTTAAATAGCCACATGTGGCGAGTGATTGCAGCATTAGATAGCACAGACTTAAATATACTAGGACATACTATCTTTAGCTAACTTGGCTTTTCTTTTTGTTTTCTTTCCTTTGAAAGATTCAGTATTCACTGAATCATGCTTATCTAAATAGCTACTCTTATAACTCAAAACCTGGCGAATCCCGGTCTTAGCCAATAGGAGGCTTGATGTGTCTTCAGGAATTTAATTGCTACTGAGATCTTATCACATGAAACAGCACAGCTTCAAATCCTTTGGAGAATATTTCTGTGAATGGGAATACAGCAACACAACACCCAGAGCATCGATGCCTTATGAAATCAACTCCTGTGCTAGGAAAAATATGCTGGAACAACCAAAAGCCAAAATAGAAAAACACTGAAAAACCATTCCACACTCTCTCCATGGAGAGCTGTCAAATGGAAAGGGCACTCTGGAAATTCTTTCTTCTGATTTCATTTTCTGATCTATAAATCTGCTGATCACGCACATCCTTTCCTGCACAGCCCTTTTCCCATTACAAATCTGTCGTGGCGACTCACTAACCTGCCATATGGCAGAGTAAATCCATTCAGGAAAACACAAGGGTACTTTGCACCTCACCACACTGATTTAAGCTTCTCTGGAGGAAAAACATACCTGATCATGAAATGGAAATCACACAAAAGTGACACAAAAGAAAAAAGCCACCTTAATCAACACACAAAATAGAGAATAAAGGAAACACAATCTCAGGTACATTCAGTTCAAGAAAGACAATGTGTTTAACTCACCTCTCATACATATTCTGACCACTTTATTTAAGAACAAGGCCTAACACCCACAGGCATAAAGAGGAATTCTATTTTGTATTTTTCTGACATGTACACCTTTTCCTTCATATCTCCCAAAGGTCATTATAATCCTAACATTTCCACTTAAAACATACCTCATCGAGTGTGACAGGCACCCAATATCCAAGAGATAAACTTGCAGTGTAACTAGGAAAGGACATGATGAGCCTTAACAGTTCTCCATCATTTAAGTGGGTCAGCAACTTTAAATAAATGTCCTGCACACCTTGGGCCTGTCTGCATGTGGAGAAAGTAAACCTGACAAAATATTAGCTTTTGCTTCTTTAATTACCATAGTTTTATTTTAAAAATCTGAATCAACTGGAGCTAAAAAATATAATCAATATTTAAAAGCATCCTACTATAATTAATATCACTAAGTAGTAAATTAAAAGATAATGAAATCTTTTCAATTCTTTCCTTTTGCTCTGATGAGAAACTTGCAGATCTACATTATTTAAAAAAAAAAATTATGAGACCACTGAACACTGCAATTATCTTTCAAAAGTCTATAGCTTGAAAATATGATTTGTCTTTTAATTGGACTATTCCAATTATTCTCAAATAGCAAATTTCTTAGCTAATCCTAAATGCATTTCTACCTCACCAGAAAAAAAAATTCTGGGGGAAAAATCAACGAAAGCAAAATAGGAAAAAAATAAAGAGAATCTATCTACTTTGGGGAGATTTCCATTTCTTCTCTCTCACTGTATTGATTTCTTTTCAGTTCTTAACTAAGGACAGTGGAATAATCCTGCCTGGTCTTGGTGAGACCAAGTGGCATAAATTCCAGCTTCAGAGAGAGTAGACACTATGGTAACATGCTGACAGCCTTCATTTACATAAAAGAATACTAATTACGTGGTATCATCAACATCTGCGATTCTGCTCACTGCCATATGCGACAGCACAGGGTATTTTAACCCTTCAACTTACTAAATGTACCCTAAATTATATGTACCACAAAGCCTGCAAAGACTGCTTAAAGAGACACAGTGAATACATTTTTACAAATAAGTGTTAAAAATGAACTTTATTTTCGACTAACATTTTATTTCCAAGAGATATAGGAAAATCTGATTTAATATAAATATACAATTAAGAAAAAGATTTTTAAAAACAAGGTAGAAATTACATTAATATGCAGTTAATAGCCCAAAGGGAAGAATGCCACATTCTAGAATATTCTGTATGGCTTTAAAAG